GTCGTCGCTGTGCTAGAGTAAGAATTCCGTCAGATGATTTTTCTGCTTTCGTGTATAAGGGAATAAACAAGCATTGATAATCGTTTCTTCTTCATCTTCCATTATTACAATCTTTGTGAAATAGGAAGACTATTTTTGGACACAAAAACGAATGCATCCACATTACGAGGTAGATCACAAAGCAACTTATAATGATGGGTTATGGTCTAATTCATAGTAAAAATATTCAAATGCATTTACATAATAAAGTAAGTGTAACAAATGGCACTGTAACCATTAATGACGCTGTAGCCATGGTGATGGTACACCACTTCACTTTACAAACTATGAGAACTGAAAATACACAGACACGCACAAGCACACACACACACACACACACACACACACACACACACACACACACACACACACACACACACACACATGCATGCGCACAAACGCACGCACAAGCACACGCGCGTATACACAAAACCTAACACGGATGCACACATACTCTCAAACACACTTACACACACCACACGTATTCTCGATTTAGAGAGACAAGGAGTTTAAAAGTAAGAGATAAATTGTTCGTTTTATAGAAAAAGAATCCCATGATCTTTGTCTCCTTTCGTTTTCAGTTAATATCAATTTCTTTGAATTAAATCTTATGGAAATTACAGAATCAGATGCCATAAAAAATGATTTATCTGATAAATATCAAGCGGGGTTCTTGGCCAACGCCGGCATTCAAAACCATTAAGGTCTAATTCATAGTAAAAATATTCAAATGCATTTACATAATAAAGTAAGTGTAACAAATGGCACTGTAACCATTAATGACGCTGTAGCCATGGTGATGGTACACCACTTCACTTTGCAAGCGCAAGTCTAGCCATCTACAAGGGTCGCTTGAGAAAGCAAGAAAAATTCTAGAGTTGGCAAGAAAAAAGCCTTGAGAGTTTAGGCAAGACCTTTCCCTGCTTAAAACGCCTTTACTTTCTCAAGCGACAGTATTAACCACTCCGGGTGTCTCTATTTCTTGGAATTGCGTCCTTTCCTGTCGACTGCTCGAGTCCTCGCGATATTATTCTACTTCTGACGTTTCGTCCCAGTGTGTTTGTTTGGCCCGTCCAAATGGCATCCGCTTCCCTTTATGTGTTTGCGACATATGCTTTTAATTTCTATCTTTTATCTCTGAAGTTTCTTGTTAATCTGTCTACAGCATCCGGCGTCTCTTTTTCATAACGCAAAGGCCTATTATCTCTGACTCTAATCCACTAAATTTAATTCTATTTCTTACGATTTCATCTTTAACCTCATCATTCTTCGCGAAACAGAGAAGTCAACGAGTTTAATTTTGCGCTATTTATGTTGATGGATGCAGTGCCGAGACAGCTAGTATTGCACAGCATTGCTAGCATTCTCCCACGTACAATGGCACTTCTGCTCGGACCTGCATTTTCTTTCTGTAGTTACTTAATGATCAATGATTACTTACATCTTTATTTTTTATTCTCAAATTTCTTTCATAGTGATTACATGTATCTTTAATTTTCATTCTCTATTTTCTTAATGATTACTAATATCTTTAATGGCTAGCGTGGTTGACCGCTCGTCCAGCAATTATCGTCCTGAGTAAAAAGAACTCCTTCAGTATGTTGAGAGCGAGGTGACTGACCTTTTGACCATACGTGACCTTAGTTTTGATTCCTTTGGACGTTTACGTATCATATGCTAAGGAATTGAGAACCCTTTTTTAAGGTGGGTAGGATATTTTTGGATTCCTTATCACCTTTCCCCTCAATTTCCATCTCTCGCTATCCAAATAGTTCCCTGAAATTGCCACAACCTCATTTTGAGAGTAACTGATGTCTTCCTGTGACTTGGGAGACTAGGCCGAACTATCTCGGGGAAGGCTAGATCAGGAGCAACTCGAGGAGGTGTCATGGCGTCTGTTTTGATGATTGTTCAATGAAAATATAAGCATCAAAATCATTATTCTCCATCCTTTTTGAAAACTGAACTGACCAAAATGATCGACCATATTCACAAAGCATCCGGAACTCGTGACCATCAAAATAAACCCCCATGTACCTTTTTTTTCGAAAAATGGAATCAGACGCCATGACACCTCCTTCTCGAGTTGCTTACTTATCTAGCCTTTCCCGAACTATCCAAACGTGGTGATTCCCCTTCATAACCTTCAGAATCATCACTTTCCCAGTTTGGCTCGAACTGTCTGCGCTCGTTTTTGTGTTTTTTCCCATGACAAAATTCACAAAGTAGAGATAATATTTTTACAAAAAGAACTCGCGTAAACTGAAAAGCGACACTTACCACTGCGTATAGAAAATAGCGAGAGTAATACCTTGAGCAAAAAAATAAAGCAGCTTGTCCTAGATGTGATCCACGTAAAAGCTATACAACTCTAAGTAGACGCAGACACATACATTTACATATATAACAATTGGGAAACACTCTACCTTGATACTATGGTATCACTTTACAAATTAAGGCG